TGCAAAAATATTGTTACCTTGCAAGGCCCAGCAAAGTAAGTTTGAGAAGGTGGCTAAATACACATTAATAATAATAATATTGCATATACTGTACCTTGTTAAAGCTAACTAAATACAAATATCAATAATTCAATCAGTCGTTTTTGGCACCATTTCAACATTCATTTGCTCGGGGTGCCGTAAATACATAGGCTACTACGAGTGATTTACATTTCTTTTATTTTCTTGAAGGTTCAAGAAATTCGTATCCGTCCAGTTGAACAGAGCTAGTAGAAGACTACCACCATCTGTATATCAATGTGCTCGATGTGTTTTAAAACAGATACTTTTAGCTTAGTCCTCTGTTTAATCATGGAGGAAAGAAAAGCAGCTTTTCTTTCCTTCATGTTTAATGTATGATGCATAATATTGTAATATGAACAGTATGGACATTAATCAGAATAGCTATAATATTTTTTCATACCTATTTGTTGCTATGAATTAAATATAAAAAAAAATAAACTTACTATAGCTAAGAAATATTCATAATCATGTTGTTATTTCGTCTTGCATTGTAAAATATAAACGACAAGTAGGCTGCAAAATACAGTTTAGGTACTGCTAAAAGTGTTTAAATTTAAACGCGTAGCAAGCCAGGGTCCCGGGATATTCATCAGCATTTTTCATTGTTCCCGATGAAGTGTTTTTAATGTCCCCGTTCGGAGTGTGTGGTGGGGGGGGGGGGGGTTGGGGCAGTTCTCACTGACGGTGGGCGCCACCCCTGCTCTCTAGGATCTAGAAACCAAAATATTGTAGATTCCGAAGAAGTCGTCCCGTTTATGATGTCATCACCAGACTGTTGAGAAGGTTAGTGCCTTGTTGCGAGGATGACTGTGCAATGTCGTACTCAATGTAGTTGTTGTAGCCAAGGGTGATGATCTTGGACGTTCTCTTTTGGACGAGTTCCACTAAGACACACTGCTTCTACAGCAACATACCACAGCTTAGCTGAGTCGGCTAATCTGGTGGTAGCCACTGTGTGTGCGCTGAACCGAGGAGATCTCTAGGTCCCCGGTTGAATTCCCATCGCTGCCTCTCCTTGTGTTTCAGCTAGAAGGCTGAAATACAAGTTACAATAGCGCACCGTCTTTCGGATGAGGCGTTTAAGCCGTTGATCCCGTGTGCATTATGGCCCATGTGCACGTTAAAGAACGCAGTACACTCTTCGGAAAAGAGTAGGGGATTGTCTCCCGGTGTACTGCCCAATCACCACCAGAAGGACCCCACTGGAAATAAGTCTTCTTCTAGACCTTCGTGGGCTATGCTTGGTGTTTACACCGAATAAATTCAATCAATCAATCAATCAATCAATCAACTGATTAACTGAAACAGTAGGCCTATTAATGATCACAATTATAATGATAATTCTAACTTCCTTGTAATAAAACTGTTCCAAGGAGATACTTTCAAGGACATTTTACAATTTTTGATACATCACCATCTCACACACGTTTTTTAAAATAATAATTCAATTAATCAAAAACAGTTATTCCATTAGGAATAATACAATCCAAAAAATAATAAATAATAATTAAACATAATGGTAAAACTAAACAGAATTAAACGAAAGAGGGTAATGTTAGGCAAGCCAGATGAAGAAAAAAATCAACTGACATTTGCAACGAGTGTACCGTAATTATTGTAATAACAAAAATAAAGACAAACAACATACACAAAATATAGGAAAAAAGACAATTCTGTGTACAGAAGGAAGGTGTCGTAATGTAAAGATTAATAATGGATTTTAATGATAGATAAACGGTACTTTGACTCTAGAAGAGAATATTTTCACGAGCTGGATGAAGAAGAATATACACTGAGGTAACTTCATGGAAAAAGTCATAGACGAGTTGGGCAACTAAAATGAATAATTATTGTGTTGAAGGAGGGTAAGTTTGGATATAGGAAGAAGCTAGAGATCGTTACAAGTTCTGTAAAAAGAACTTGGAAGATGGGAAGGGATGGAAGAGTGTATAGCTTCATAAAAAACACAATTTTAATTAGGCCTATTACAGGGGCGGATCCAGAAATGTCCAAAGGGGGGGGGGCCGGAAGCGGGGGCCGAAAGTTGGGCCGATTGAGACAACACTGTCGTAGGAGGTCTGGGGCATGCCCCCGCGAAATTTTTGTGTTCTAGACGCCCGAACATAACATTTGAGGTATTCTGGGCTATCATTTTTTTCTTTTTCTCTCTTTTTTTTCTTTTTTTTACCTGCCAAAAGGGGGGTCCGGGGCCCCCCCTAAATCCGCCCCTATCCGCCCCTGTATTACACGCATGTTTGCATTATTGACAAAACATAGGATTAACTATAAATTTATTTAGTTTATTTTTATTAATCAGATGTTATTTTAGATTTGAAAAAAATGTATATAGTAATAAGACCTTGGAATGGTCAATCACGCCAATTACCGGGAACCAACGTAAAAAGTTTACGTAAAAAGTTTTTTTTTTATTCATTGCATTGTGGTGGCGCTTTATGCAAATTAGGTTTCTGTATATCATCGACGATCAGGTATCATGACTCCATCCTTTGCTGCATCCTGCGTACGTGTTTGTGCAGCGGTGCCTGAGCTGTGCTGTGTGGACGCGTGTGTGAGAGTGCTATTATAGGCCTAGCACTAGGGCCTAAACAAGAAAAAGAGAATATGTCAGAACGTTGGGTTGGACGAGTAGCGTTGGTAACTGGTGCCTCTGTAGGAATTGGAGCAGCAATTGCTCGAAAGTTAGTTGGACATGGAATGAAGGTCGTTGGATGTGCCAACAACGGGTTCGACAAAGTCAAGGTACCCTAGACCTAGCTAGCTAGAAACATAAAAAATTGAAATGTTGCAAATATTTTTTTAATTATTTTTATAAGAAAGACATAGCTGAGTGAAGCATTTTAAAACAAAAACTATGTAAATCGGACCAGTATCAGCGGAGATATTGCAATTTAAGTACGTTTTTCCCCGGGGAGTAATTCCTATTGTTTATTTATCCAAGAAATGTGTCCCTAGTGTATAATTGTGTAGCATTTTAGGCCATGTTAATTACATTGTATTTATCAGTATTTATTTATGTAACATCACATTGTCTAATTATTATACATAATTAGTTATGTAATTATTAAGTTAGGTCAGCGGTCACCATATCATGTCAAAGGTCACTGTTTAAGGTCAAAGGTCACCGGTAAAGGTCAAATGTTTAAATATGAATTAATACTTTTCAGAGTGGAAATTTGAGTAATTAGCGAATTTTAAAATAATTATTTATTATGCACTAATATTAATAGGTCAGCGGTCACCATATCATGTCAAAAGTCACTGTTTAAGGTCAAAGGTCACCGGTAAAGGTCAAATGCTGTCTCTTATACACATCTAGATGTGTATAAGAGACAGCATAAAACAGGCCTACCGTCGGGGCACTATTTTCTATCGCGATGTTTGGAACTCCGAAAAACAGCGCCCCCTATCGGTTTTGTTTCTAGCTAACCTAGCCTACTAGCCTAGAGTAGTAGTAGCCTAGGCTATAGTTTAGGGGCCCTTCTAGTCTTAACTTAGTAGGCTAAGGTAGGCCCTAGGCCTAGGTAGAGGCCTACCTAGCTAGTAGTACTATAGGTAGTAATAATAGTACATGTAGGCTAGAGGTAGACTATCAACAAGAGCAAGAAGGCTTTTAGTAGAGGCCTGGCTATGCTACAATTTTATAGCCCCTGCCATGGCCTTAGGCATAGGGCCTAGGGCTAGCCCTATCCAGACGCTTGGACTCTGCCAGTTAATCAAGTCGAAGTAGAAGTAGCTAGTACTGAGGGCCTAGTAATCAGACCTAGGTAGGTCTAAACCCCTATCTAGGCCTATACACAAGTCTTAATCTAGTCAATATTCTCCCTTGAAACATTTTCTGGTAAATTTGTCTATAAAAATTCAGCTGAGCTAGCCTAAGATATATACAAGTTGACCAAAATAAGATCATTCAAACGATGCACTAATGACAAATTAGTGCACAGTTGGTTAGGGATAGGAAAATAACATTGGGAGTTACAGTGATTACATCATGATTGATTTATGATATATTAATCAAAATTAGCCAAAAAAGCTAATAAATTGAAATTTGCTGTTTTATATTCTCCTGCTTCTATGCTAATTAATCTTCAATTTAGCTGTTCACTATCAATGTCATACTGAATAATTATGCCACACATAAAATAGCATATTACACACTGTCATTTGTTTTGTTGTAAGTGAAGTAATTTGGATTTTCTAAACGAAAGAATTATTACACTTATACTGTATTGCAGACATATTACATGTGTTAAATTGTCCTGACGTGATCAAGTATTGAATATTAGATTAATGCGAATCCTATCTTAGTAACCTGTGAAACTTATTGAAACATATTTTGAAAGATGGTCATATCATTCATCAAAATATGTAGAGAAGAAGTAGGGCCTGGTGTTGAAAATTTCTTGCCTAAAATACACACAGTTTCTAATAAAAAGCCATTAAATTACATAAACCGACCTAAATTATTTTTGGTTGACCCATAAATCTTTATCCTGTCCCAGTTTGTTTGAAATTCCACAGCTGTTGTTTTGTTGCACTGTACTGTACCTGCAATTTTGAGCAAACCCATATCTTGCACTCAAATGGTGATTCTAAAATAATTTTTTTTTCATACTAAATCAAGATTACCGTATTTTAACATTTCCATGATTTGCTGCATTTTTGCAGCATTGCGGTGTGAGTTTACTTAACAGAAAAGAACATGTTACAACGTTGGGTTGGGCGAGTGGCATTGGTAACTGGTGCATCTGTAGGAATTGGGGCAGCAATTGCGCGCAAGTTAGTTGGACATGGAATGAAGGTCATTGGATGTGCCAACAACGGATCAAAGAAAGTCCAGGTAGGCCTACCGGTAATAGGCTATAAAATTACAAACAAGGCCTACCTAGTCGGGGGAGGACCTAGTGAGCAGATCTAATCCCTCTTACAGAAGCCTAAGTTAGTCTAGTTACTAGGCTTAGGCAGCTGGGGTCTGGCTAGACCATCTAGACTATGCGTCGTAATATCCCAATTAGTGCAGTGGGGGAGAGGTCAGTGAGCTGGGCAGCCGTTCGAAACTTTGCAATAAGTTGTCGTACCCTTTTGAAATTTGGCAGGATTGTATATCTACATTGTGATTATATGTGAAATTTTAATTACAACCATTCGTTTATTGCAAAGTTATTAGTTATAATTACAGATACGTTGTTTTGCCTCAGAAACACAACAGTAAACATGTACAAAAATATCACTGTCAAGCTGAATGCAGCCCGCACTTTGCCTACTTACAAAGTGCGGGCTTAAATTGCACGTACAGGATTACAGCTGTTGAATTTTCAAACATCCGCCTCTTTTTCTTAGTTGTCGCAATAATTTATCATAAATCTGACAAGTATGAGTGTTACAGGACAATGTAACCAAAGATCCTTATGGAAAAGTCATTTTTCTGAACTAAAGACCTATTATGGGTCTCTAGACCTATTATCAAATACTGTAAATAAGTTTCCATAATAAATTAAAGGAATTTTATTATTATTACAAATCTGGTGAAAATCATTATCATGTCATACATTGTTATTGCACCGACTTCCCTCAATTCTAAAATTAAGCTACTGTAGCCTACTGTAGGTAGGCTAATACTAGTTATTTTTTTTTTAAATTAGCCAAATTCCACATCTGCTGTTATTTACACTGTGCTGTACCTACAATTTTGAGCAATCCATGTCTTGCACTCAAGGCAAATTATTAGGGGCTACAGAAATGCATTTTTACTAATATCTGGTAGTAATATCTTGGCACTTTGAAGGGATAAGTTTTAATATTTATTATAAGTAATCCATTGATGTTATAAGTATAGAATATTGCTGGTACGTTCTTGCTGGACAGTGTTATCATCAACAATTGGATCCACTTGCCCTGAATCTATTATTTTTTTTTTTTATCAGGATAATTAATCTGTCACTCCACTAATTTGGTTTTGCTTACAACATTCTTAAAACCACTTGAAAACTTTTTTTTAACAAGAACATACATATCAATCTTTACCTGATGAAGCTGGCATCGACTTCCATCAAAATTATCTCGAAATTTAGTCTCAGAGTTCTGCCTTATTATTCCGTTATTAATAAAATATCTTTGTCATTTTATCTGTAATTACCGTATGACCTTTATTTCAAGTTGGTCCTGGTACTATTAAGCAATTATAGTCAGGTTTTGAGTACACTATAGGAAATAGAAGCAGAAGGAGTCATTATTTCCTGAAAAAAATTGGCTGTAGCCCGCAGGCTGAAGGCAATTTTTTAATGAAATAATGGTTCCTAAACCTTCTCTTTCCTATAGTGTACAAAATTACTTGATGCTAATTGCTTTACAGTATAAGTCAGTTGTGACATCCATCACCTTTTCTATAACCTTATTGTAATCAAACTGCTGGTTGTATAGCAGTTGCTATAGGCCCTGTATCATAAATCCATCAAAGTGCTGGTTGCTATGTGAACTATAGCCGGTTGTTGTCCAGTGATACTGTGCGTGTGCATTAGCTATACGTATTAGAATGATTTGTTAGTAGTACGCACACTGACACTCTTCACACAGAACAGCTCTTTGCAAAAAAAAAAAAAAAAATGTGGTTCATGAAATTTATTAAGGGCTATTAGGTAGACAACTATATCGATATAGTGATCAGTTGGTAATAGGAAGATTCAGTGCAAATGAAAGTGATGACCCGACCACTGACTTATAATTCAGAAAAAATATCTCACTCAAATTATTTATATATAAAGTTGATGTTGACATCATCACACCTATTTTTCAAGGTGTTAGATTGTAGTGGAGACAAAAATATGACCTGGAAATTATAAATGACTTTGCTAGGTTTGCCTGAGTACAAATTGGTGGAATAACTATTTGGTAATCAAAATTATCATACATCCCAAGCCTCATGCATTCAGCATGAGAATCACGCTCACACTTAAGGACCAAAATCTTGTGCATAAATGTGATATTGCCTATGATTGGTTTTGTCATTCAACATTTGAACACGAAAAAATGGTAGCACACTACACCAGGGTTGAGTTGGGTTGACTGTCTGTCTTAAGTAACGCTCCTCAACCAATTCTTTAGTTGATGGTAGGAAGCTTCTTGCCTCTGATTTATTTTGAAACTTGCTCCCTCCTTATCATCAACTTGGCACAGACATTTGATCCCGCCCTTTACTTGAGATTCTCTTTTGGCAATTTAAAAGGTCACCTGTTGTTACAATTGCCAAAATTTTAAATACTAAGTAGTAGGCGGTTGTTGTTATTTTTTCGTCATTCAATATTTGAACACGAAAAAATGGTAGCACACTACACCAGGGTTGAGTTGGGTTAGCTGTTTGTCTTAAATAACATTCCTCAACCAATTCTTGCTTCTGATTTATTTTGAGACATGCTCCCTCCTTGTCATCAACTTGGCACAGACATTCGATCCCGCTCTTTACTTGAGATCTTTACTTTTGGCAATTTAAAAGGTCATCTGTTGTTACAATTGCCAAAATTTTAAATACCAAGTAGTAGGTAGTGGTTGTTATTTTTTTTTTCCGTATAGTTTTTTTTAAATGTTTTACAGCATAGGCCTACTGCTAATTTTATAATGTAAAAGACTGCAATTTCAGCCTTTGGCTGCTTGTTAGTCACAGCTTTTGAATTAAAAATAAAGTATACCTGAATATTTAATATAAATTTTTATAAGAGTTTGTAAAAATTCAAAAATATCTGTTACTAGTTTTTCGATCAGATCGAACTAGCTACATCGACACTATTACAAAGCACTGTTGGATAAGATCAGAGAATGCACTGCCAGCCACCACATGCATGGCTCATGTCAGAGTGATAGGTCCATGGACGGCAGAAACATGCATTCTGAAGATAAAAATTTAGAACAGATTTTCAGTTGTAAAAATACTATCCTAAAGTGGCAAAGAATGCTTTTCTGGGCATCTAAATAAAATAGCATTTCTGGGCATCTAAATAAAATATCTCTAAAAACTTCTCCCCTAGGGGGAGGGGTTTTTAGAACAAAATCTCATGCCTGCAAATTAGTCTAACTTGGAATGTCTGAATTATCACAGAGTGTCCTAGGTTTTAAATACCAAAGGAAATATTTTGTTTTTCTTTAAGAATGAAATATTATACCTGATTACGTTCGCATTTGTCGTTGGTATGTTTTTCCCTACTAGGCAATTGCAGAGGAACTCAAATCCCAGAATGCACCCGGTCTTCTACACCCAGTGAAGTGTGACGTCAGTAAAGAAGCTGACATCTTAGCTATGTTTTCTGAGATTAAGGATAAGTTTGGAGGGGTTGATGTTTGTGTTAACAACGCTGGTCTGTCGTTTGAATGTCCGTTGATGTCTGGAAAAACTGAACATTGGCGATACATGTTGGAGGTAGGCTACATTTTTCTGAATAAGATTGTTTTTTTTTATAATTGCTTTTTTTCTGTTGAACTAGAATTCTTACCCATCAACAAGAAAAAAAAGAAAGTGCCTTGTGTCTTATGGAAAAAATATGTATGTGAAAGTAGATTTTGTGGCTTGCCAGGCCTACACAAACAACAAGTGACCAAAACAAGAAAATTTACTTCTTAATATTCATATTCTGCGCATTATATGAGCTGAGTAAAACTATTAGGGCTTCTGTGGACTATAGTATACAATGCCATATTCTTATGGTATGGTAATAATACTCACACTGGTTTGGGATTTATTGGAAGAGTTTAAGCTGGGCGACGAGGCACACCACGGATCGTGTTTAATGATGATCCTCTCAGACTGGATGCTTCATCAATCGCTCGCAGACAACGTAAACAAATCCAGCACAACTATCTTTAAGTGTTTTGATAATTTTATTTGGCACAGGTGAATGTATTGGCCCTTGCAGTCTGTACGAGAGAGGCTATTAGTCAAATGATAGAGAAGGGAGTAGACGATGGGCATATATTTCACATAAACAGGTAATTGTGTATATTTTAATTGAATGTATTTTATATTAAAGATTCATGAAAACTGTAATTTTCAGCATTATTTTATTTTTTTATATTAAAAATTTAAAATAATCTGTTTCAAAATGGGTAACATTTTGTACAGGTGCTAGTTATTTAAATTATTAAACTACAACAGGGCTTATTACTTTTCCAGTATGAGTGGACATCGTGTGGCAGCCTCAACTTCTCCCATTGGTTTTTACAGTGGAACAAAACACATGGTTACAGCTATGACAGAGGGTCTTCGACAGGAACTTAGGTCAAAGAAGTCCCACATTAGAGTTACGGTTAGTTACCTACATGTGTTTTTACCTCTTATTCCTTAGAGTTTGAACTTATTGATTGAAACTTTGTTAACCGAAGAGAATATCTGCTATGGCTAGGCCCTGTGTTTTGGTTGATGAGGTCAGTTCTTTTGTATCCCCATATAAATATCTGAAGAAATTTTTTTTTATGCTTGGTATAATGTAAGATTGCATTAAGAATAATGATTTGGTTTATGTAAATTCAACATAATACTAATTTCTTATATACGTAATAAATAAAAACAATAATATGCCTTTTTAACCTACTATTTAATGCTATGCAACCTTTTAATTTAATTTTACTTCTTATTTTCTCCCAAGGACCCCATTGGAAATAAGTCGTTTCATACAACTTTCATAGGCTATCCTAGTATACCTAGTGTTCAACATCAGATTTTAATGAATTTTAATTGATAATCTTTTTCCCTATTTTTAAGTCTGTAATAACTTTTTTGAAGCTCTTTGTTATTTGATTTTATTGTTGATGTTAAGGTATACTGAATAAAGTCAAGTCAATAGTAATCAAAAATTTCTAATGCACCTATTAAAAAAAATTATGAAAGATGTAGTTTACCTTTAGAGTTTGTTGTCAAATGGCTAAGCGGTTAAGGCAGGGGCACTGCACCCTACATCCATAATATCGGCGCTGGTTCAAACCTGTGTTTTTTGTGATTGAACAAGTCTTCAAGATAAGGACTATAAACCGTAGGCCCCATGTACACAATTGGCTCATGTGCACTTTAAAGAACCCAAAACATCTTTCGAGATGGGTAGGGGGTTACCCTGCGTTTACGGACCATTAGGTCCTTTACAGGCTGTTCCAACGTAAACATAAGCGTATAATTATGTAACTAAAAAAAAGTTATTCTAGACACAATTATTATGTTAGTATATTAATATTGGATAATAATGATAATAGTTGGACTTGTAAATAATGCATGAAGCCGGACATTCATTGTGCCCGACCTGATTCTATTAGGAACACAACTCAACGATGTGCTAGCAAGAGATCGTTTTTAATGAGGATCCTTTGGGACTTCATACATCCTACAACAAAGTGAATTCCCAGCTTTGTACAAGAAATATGATCATACAACCATGACTCAAATTTTGAGAAATTCTAAAATTAAACGTGGTTGGCTGTTGACTCCAAGCTCTTCTGACCTTTGTTTAGCTGACATAATTCAAGCTGCAGAGTGACTAGGAAGCTTTCAACATTAGTTAAGATAGTGGCTGCCTGCCGTTTTTGGATGCAGTCTAACATATAATTAACATTACATAAACATATAATTAACATTAACATCATAAAAGATGGTTTATTTTAATATAACATATTGAAATTCTCAGGGATCAAATGATAGTTTCTGTGAGAAGCAGACCCAGTCCTTAAATGAATTCATAGATAGGAGGAAGTATGTAGAATGGGAAGATTGTTTATTGCAAAGTTAAGTTGTAGTAATTTTTATGTTATTTCTCATATTAGAGCATATCTCCAGGAATGGTTGAGACCGAGTTTGCAATCAGGATGAGAGGAGAAGAAAGGGGAAAGCAAATTTATAGTCAAATCAAGGTAGTGTTAGGCGATTGTAAGCTTAAAGTGTTTGATAAATCATTTTGTAAGCTTGCATCAGGGTTCGTTTACAGTTGTCAACATTTTCACAAGCGTACAAACAGTGCGGTTTTACATATGCATGATAACATTGATTCCAAATAACATGCAATGTTTAAAAGAATGTATTGATAATATGAAACATTTGTATGCAAACATATGTAATACTTCAGTTGACTTCACAAGAAAACTTGAAGTTGCAAAATCAACATTTTTTTATCTACTTTCAGAGAGGAGGGAGGGGATACCAAAAAATAGTACTGTTTGTACACTTTTAAGAAAATGTTGATAATTCTGACCAACACCTTACATGTTATATGTATAATTTGATATGTTATCTTATTTGATATACAGTAAAACTTGCCTAAAGTCGACTTTGCCTAACTCAAATAATTTCTAAGTCGATCTTACAGTATTTTACATGCTAAAGTGTTCAAAGTGTTTTCCGTTAATTAATGATCTGTAAGTCAAATTTTATCTAAGTTGAACAATTTTTTAACTTAAACAAGTACAACTGTATATTATTATGTTCTTCAAATATATTCTGGTATATATATATTCTGGTATATCTTATTCAATCATCATAGCATAATGCAATGAATTGAGATGATTAATTACAAAAATAGAAACTATTTTTAAATTATTGATACATTATTATTATCATTCAGAATCTTGCAGCTGATGATATTGCTGACTCATTGGTTCACGCGTTGCATGCTCCTCCTCACTGCCAGGTGAGTTCAAATATTACAAACAATATTGGGATTTTTTTTATTTCGTGTTTCACAGTGAAAATATGCCATTTAAAGAATGGAATCCATCAACCACAAGAACAATACACTATTACAATACACAATTCTGCAACCTACAGCAATAACAATAACAACCAAATATATTTACATACCATATATACTCGCATATAAGATGAGGCTTAAAATGGCAAATAACGATAATAAAACAAGGTGTCATCTTTTGAAATCATGTTCGTCTTATGTGCGGATCGTCCGTAACATATGAATTTACTGCTGCAAAACCTACTAAGTGTTGGTATGAATGAACGCAATTTTAAATACTGGGAAATAAGATTTTGATTAATATTTACAGCCCATAAAATTGTATTATTTTGATGATTAGGCCTACATGCTCCGTTTTTAGCCAGCTAGATGCAACATCAAGATCATGAAGAGCAGCGAAAAGTATGAATTCTGATGGTGAAATGGGAGTCTTGTACACCCAACATACAAAAGCCTTCCAAAAACCTTCTCAAGCTCTGGGGTCGCCTTATACGCGGGTATATACGATACATATGCTAAAGTAAATTTATTAACAGCTCTTACCGAACATAATATTTATAAATTCAGAAATTTTAAAATATTTACAGACAAATGCTTACATAGCCTATATTGAAAATAGAAACTAAAGAAGCCTGTGTGAAAGTTCATGTTATCATCAATATATATCATCTTTACTCATCATCATCATCATCAACCAGTTAAAGAACATGTACACATTTTTATTGGTCTGAAATATAGTATATTTTGGGTTTTAACACACTCTTCGTAAATTTACTTCAATTGAGTAGGTAATTTTTATTTTATGTTAAAGACCTATAGTTCAGAATATTTGAAATGTTGTTACGGTTTCAATGATAGTAGGAGTACTTAAGCATGACTCTTCTCTATTTTTAGATACAATAATCATTTTATATGTTTTTGCTCTGATATTAATATGTCTTATCTTTCACAGATCCATGATATACTTATACGTCCAATTGAACAGGAGACGTGAGGGTGCAACTTAAAATCACTTTTTTCAGAAACAATATAACACTGATCGCACTTTTATGGTGTACCCAAGTTATGTCACGCGACAGGCTGTAAACAAACATTGCCGAATCGGTCCGTTATAAACTGCCTTTTTTCTGCTATAGGCTCAATAATTCATTAGAATAATTTTGAGAGAGATTACTTATTCTTAGTAATGCTTATTTAACATGTAGAGTGTTGTAATAACTGTATATATTAAGTTGATAATATGGCTATAATGTACATATCATGAAGAATTGCTTAGGAATGTAATTTATATTAATAATAACTAGAGCAGTCATTCCATAGCCTGCTTACCTCCGCCTTGTGCCTGAATACAGTACCAACAATACGCAGATCATGTATGATGGGCGAAACTACAGCATACCCTCAATGAAATAATGAAATTTCCTGTTGTATTCAGGCACATTTTCTTGAGTGCTGCAGCATGCCCTAAAAAAATATTGGAATCACCTGTTGTATTCAGGTACATTGTTTTTTTGAGTGTTGCCTGAAAATGAGGGGCGATTCCATTATTTTCTTTTATGCTCGAAGAGAAAAAAAATTTAATTTCCTTGACCTTGTCCTTTGACCTTTTCTACTGAAAATTGAATAGTGTCTTTCTTTGATGATTATGTACCATTCCACTAAATTTTATGAGGATCCATCATAAGTTTTTGCTTAATTTTGCTGACAGACAGACAGCCAGACAGCATTGAACACATTACCTCATTGGCAGAGGTAATAATGATATTGAAAAATTTTTGAAGCGCCGGTATCTGTTTAAAAAAAGAAAACACTCATGGTGCCCCTCCACAAGAAATTCAACAAGGCCTATAATAACTATAGTATACTGAATCTTTGAATATGAACATAATTTATATATAATAGTAATGTATGAAATATGAACTATTCATTGTAGTGTTATAAATTTAAAGAGAAACAATAAATGTTTTACCTTCAGAGAAAAAAAAATCTTGTAAACTTTGAATGACTTTGAATCAGACCCATAATACCTCAAATTGGCATGTCAACTAGTATCGAAAATAGTGGCGTTCGATCCAGAACCACCACTTTCTATTCAAGTTTAATAGCAACCGTACCTTCGTGAGTTGTGTATACTGTACTCTCGCTCCCATGCTCTTATCAATGAACAGAAACTAGTGAAAATATATTAATTTGGCTTTCAGCAAGTCTGATTCCCTGTATGACTCGTTAAATATATATCATAGAAACATAACATATACCTAGCATAAACTCAATATTTTAGGAGTTACTGTATCCATAATACTAACTTTAAATGCATTGGACGATCATATTTTGGGGGTTTTTCACATTATAAATGGATGCGCTTAAAATTTTTGGAAATATCATGAAAGACAATGGCTGGTCCTTAATGAAGTTTAAGTTGTTACATTTGGAACTGCATATTCATGCTTGACCACAGCAATTGTAACAATGATTAGACAATGAATAGTCAGCAGAAAGTCTTGAGTTCGAAACCCGGCTGGGGCACCTATTTTTTCACACTCGCAGATTCCTCTTTAACGTTTACAAATTTATCTAT